GCCTTCTCCAAATCCAGGGTAGCCAGTCCTTTCTTCGTTAAAGCAAACCCAAAATTGACACTCAAACGCTGGCTCTGTACTAACCCTCCTGGCAATGGTGGCAGTGAAATTCAGTGACACCACCTCTCTTTAGTGTAACAGCTTGACACGGAGCAAGGCAAACCAGCTGTCAACCTGCTGTAGCCCTCCACCATGAGCTCCTGGGGTGCCTTTCACGCGAGGCAGGTGAGCAAGACCTTTTAAACACTGCAGGTGAAATCTTTCAAGGGCAGGACTCCTTTGGAGACAGGTTCACCATGAGCAGGGCTGCTTCACAAAGTAAAGCAATAGTAAATGTTCAATAAGAGGTGCCTTCTCCTTCCCATACCAGCAGCCCTTTGCCTCAGGGAAAACCCAGGAGTGCTGTCCTCGCTCCCCCACGGCCCTGTGGCATATGACACACATCGATGCAGCACACCTCACACACGAGCCATGGGTTTAACCACCCCTGGTGAGCAGTCTCTTACCCGCACCGTGCCCTCGGAGCTGAGCTGCTTCCTTGGCTTTTCAGGCTCGGCTCGGGTCCCATCCGGGTACGCGTGAAGGTAAAGACACTTCCCTCCAAACGGGCATGTTCCCTTCCCTTGTTCAAAGTACTTGCAGGGCTTTTTCCTGGTGTAATGAGAGAGAGAGTTATTGCCTTCAGGTAGTAATGGAGTAGGGACAGTTTGTTCCCCGTGGCTGCTTCTCTCATGCTCAGTGGAACAAAGTGAGAACACAGCAAGAGGTCCGGTCGCTCCTGCCCCAGCTGACAGCAGTCAAATAGAGGGGAAGGATTATTAAAAGCAAACCAACAGGTAAATGAACAGCATCAGAACTCAGAAGAATGAAACTATCTAAGACACGGCAAGTGAAGGATGTTCCAAGAACGTCACTGGTGCTGCACACGTGTTTTCACCACACCCTACAAACCCACTGCTATTTTTCTAGCACCATTCCTCTCCTGTGTTTTTGACCGCTCTGTTCCTGTTGAAGCAGTTCCTCATCCCCTCCTCTCGAGGGTCTGCAACAGCACATGGTTAGTTCACGTGTCCGCCAGCGTTGTCGCTCCTCTGCAGCAGAAACTACAAAGCAAATGCAACTGACCCTGTAAACTTGATCTGCAAACAGTGATGAAAGCAGACCGATGCATGCTGGACATTCCCAGGATACAGGTACCGTCTGAGAGCAACTGAGCGGAGAAGCTAAGCCCGGCAGTAACAAAACCCAAACCCCAGCCAGGCAGCGCATTAAGAGCAGAAGGGGTTTGTCTGTGACTTCCAGGTTTCTAGGGCTGACTTCTTCCCCACCTGTGCTGGCACATGACTGGGTTTGTGCTGGCCTGACCCTGTTCTAGGTTAGACTCAGCTTTATTACCATTTTTTCATTCCATGTAATATAACCCCTCAAGTTTGACTGCCAGGATCTGTCTATAGCCTGTCTGTACCAAAGACGGTTTTATCTACACCACAACACGCTTATCTCAGCTGAGCACTTAAGCAAAGCCCCTCTCTGTATCCTCTGCTGCACAGCAAGTTGACAAGAGCCAACCCAACTGCCGGCACCAGCTCGTACCTCGCTCCAATGCTACAAACCACTGGCCTTGCAGAGGACACGGCTGGTCAAAACCACCCTAAGCTCAGGCTTCTGAGCACAACTCCCTGCCCTCAGTCCACAGCCCTTGTTAATTAAAATGAAAACCCAAACCAGCACTCAGGTATGGAAAGAAATCACAGCTGCAGAACCTCAGCCTAAATGACTGCTTTTCTTCAGATGCCTTGCCTGACTATTAAGACAAGATGCTGGATTGTTTAATGGAGTAGTGCTGCTTGCAGCAATGCTGCTGCTGTGTTGCAGCAGGAGTTCAGACTTGCAGCTTCCCAAGCAGCTGAAAAGCAGCAGCAGCTGAGCACAGATCTAAATAAGGCCGATTCTGCTCTCTGCTCCAGAGGGCGTGTGTAAAGGGTGGTGCACGTCACACAATGAAACTCGCAGCCTTCTGCAGGTCCTCCCTCACTCAGGTCAAGCACAGCTCTGCTTGTCCACCCTGAAGGGAGCCCGGCGGGGTCAGGAACAACATCTCACCCTCCCCTCAGAGGTTCCAGGCAGGCCCAGCGCTGCTCCACAGCCACCCCTTGTCAGCCCCAGCGCTCTCCCCACGCTGCCAGCACCATGCAGACTGCATGAGCCCACCGCAGGACCAGAGCCGTGTCACCTCTTCCATTCCCTGCGGACATCACAAAACCCTGGGATACGTATTCCATATTCCAGGAGACAATTTCATTTTCCTTCCCTACCCGACTTCCTCAGTAACTGATGACCTTCCAGGCAATTCTAAGGGACCAACTGAAAATGCATGAAGCTGTTTTTGGCAAGTGAACTGAAATCACTGCAGCTCTTCAGAGCAACACGAGTTTGAGTGATTTCTGATCTATAATTACAGGACAAACACGCCCGTGGCAGGCACAGAGTGAAATCAAAGTGTTAACAGAGATAAAGAGTTTGCTGTGGAAAGGGTTGGAACTACAGACAGGTAAAACCACAGGCAGCTCAGCAGACTCGGTGCAGCTGTCCTAAGGACAGTGTAAATAGCGTGTGGCTGCTCCTGGACTTACCCCACTCCCTGCTTAAATGCTTCAATCAGCTCGTTTTTCTTCTCCTGGTCTTCTACCCAGTACGCGCTGGGAATGACGAACTCGGATATCACACGGCACTCGGGGCAAGACCTGAAGGCAAAGCACCAATGCTCTGTTATTTCCCAAGGGACACTCCTCAACAAACGTGCCAGGAACAGCCACCTCCCGAGGGGCAGGGAGCTGACACAGGCACCTCCTCACATACCAGCACACGTGCACCACTGCCATTAGTGTCAACTGAAATAACCCAGCTGGGTGCAGCCAGAGCTTGTGCTTCCCTGTGCCTGTTTCTAGACTTAAAAAATGTCCCAGGTATTTCCTCAGTACTCGAGAGCAAACTGCACATGCTAATCCCAACACACAGTGATAAACCATCACTGTTACGAGGGCGCTGCAGCCCCCATGCAGCAGAAAGCCAAAACAGCTGGAGAAAGGTCAAGGAAGGTCTCTAAGCCTTTGAGATGCCACCTGACATCCACCAGCAGCAATGAGCTGTCCCTTCAGCGGCTTTACAGGATGGATTTCTACATAAGGAACTAAGATCAAGAATCAAATATGCAACTTCAGGTCCCTCAACAATCTAGGAAAGGCTTCGTTACCCTGCCTGTCTCCCCACAGGCAGTGCTCTCAGAACTGAACCAAGTCCCTCCTTTAACTTAACTCTGCAACCACCGGTATGTTCACCATTATGGAGAAGGGTGAAAAACCATGTTTGAAGCATGTGTGTTAGTATTTAATCCATACTGCAAACAGACTGCAGGGCACTGCTGCTGAAACCCACTCACCCTCCCACAACACCCCGGGACCTGCCCGGGAGCAGCTTGGCTCCAGCACAGGTTATGTCCCTCAGGAGCCAACATTCCCTTCCATGAAACAGATAAAGTTGTGCAGAAGCGTCTGTTCTTGCAGGAGACTGAAGAGGTTTCCCATCTCTCCCTCAGCATGACTGTAACTTGGGAGAGTTTTCAAAGAAATGCTCAAAAAAGGGACTAGCCCCAATTCAGTGTTTTAAATCCTCTGAGGAGGAGTGTGTTTGGAATAGAGTTTTTATAGAGCTGGAGGATGAGGCATTTGCTCAGATACAGAGAAATGTGTGACTAGTGGGACATTTACTTTAAGTTACAGTATGGAACAAACCCCAGTAATTAAGCAGATGCACAGCAAGAGGGAGGTACTTCTGCACATGGGTTACTGTGAAGGGCACAGGTTCACCAGGTCTCAGCTGCTCACAGTCCACGTCTGCACTTTGCCCACCATCAACACAAGACAGGGCTGTCACCCAGGGCAGGCTCTTCCCACACAGGACCACAGCAAGAAAGGGAACTGTCACCAAGGGACACCCCATCCATGTGTCCTGCTGGTCTTGACCACTGTTCTCCCAGCCCCACCCCAATGTCCTGGAATTTGCCTGTGCCTGGAGCAGGATTTTCCGAGCTCAGAAGTGACTAATGGCTGTGTTAACGTTTACAGCAACACAATCCCTTGTCACCAGTTGTATTTCTGTACGAGCCAAGGCACAGCCAAGAGCCCATCTCACTGACCCAGCCACAGAGAAGAGACCCTGGTTAAACACCCACTTACTTTATGATGGGATTCTCGAACTGCTTGGCACACCTCCACTGCCGGATGCAGGACAAGCAATACGTGTGGTTGCAGTTGGAAAGGATCCCAAACCTCCTCTCAGAGGCCGATGGTTTCTCATACACCACTTCCATGCAGATACTGCACACTTTGTCCTGACTTGCCTGAAAGGCAAAGGCCTTCTCCATGTCGTGCTCGAATGTCGCCATGCACATCTGTCATGGGAGAGATGTCACAGATGTTATTGCAGTCCATACACTGCCTGTTCCTCGACAGTGCCTGTGGAAGGGATCTACTGCAGGGAGAACAAGGCACGCTCACCAAAAGCATCATTCCTACCCTTCCTCAGCAGAATTTGATGTGAAGAACATGACATTCAATCCCACATCTCAGCCCTTCAACGTTCTTTGCAGCTTCAGCAGGGTCAGAAGGAACGTGCCCGAGTGCTCATCATTTACCCCTTTCTGTATATCTGTCATGGCACAGGTGTTGCACAAGGAGACACTTCAGATCCCCATAACCCATCAAATTCAGGGTCCAGCACAGGTGCCACACTCAGGGTGTTACTAACTGCTCCTTAAGGTCACACTCATTGACCAGACCTTAAGCTCTACACCAGCTGGGAATCAGTCTCTTATTACAGGCTTTCCCACAGCACCTCTCACCACGGTATCCAGTAGGGACAGTCATTCCCACTTCATTCTCTCAGCAGTACAAGGTGAGCTGGTGGTTATACCTGCGTAGGTTTAACTCGTACTTTACAAGAGACCCAGAACTTGACAAGTAAAATAAATTTAAAGGACTTTAAATTATAACACTACTAAACAAGGACACACTAATTCTACATTAGTAGCAGCATTGTGGCTACTGCACCTTCTCAATCCCCCACATCCCGCTGCTGCCAGAGCTGAGCTGTGGTGACAGGACACTGTGCCAGGTCCCAACAGGCTCTGGGGAGAAGTGAGCACTCCCAAGCAGCACGTTCTGCAGGGACATCCAACCACATAAAACCCAAGAGTTTTAACCCCTCAGGTCCTACTCCAGACTCTAGAGAGACTCGTGATTCAGTAACCACTGACTGCTGGTCTTTCTCCTCCCTCCTCAGCCTTGAGAACTCCTGTTCCTGACCCAAATCTGGAAGCCAGGCAGAGAAAAGAGCAGCTCCTTCAGCCCACCTTTACCTGACCAATTCCTCACGTGGTCCCTCCAGCTCACCTCCAAACCTGCTGTACTCTGTTCAGCGTGTCCCCACTTGGCCCTGCCCTGACGCCAGCCACAGCAAAGAGGAGACACCTGAGGAGTGTGTCACCCAAAGGTGACCTCAGAACGCACCAGCAGCTCAAGATTCCTCTCCCCCACCATACACAACACCATGGAGATGTCACGTAGCTGCAAAAGACATTGTCCAGGGAGAACTTTAGGGTGTTCAGCCTGGGAGAAGGCTGTGGGCAAGTTTCCAAAAAGGATGAAATGGGAAAAGAAGTTGCTGTAAAAGGCCATCTGCATCAGCATCACCAATTAGCCCCAGATGCTTGAACAGAGCACTCTTAGAACCACTTTATAGGGAGATAAAACAATGAAACAAAAGCTCTTCAGACCAGCAGGCACCTACAAAACACACCTTTGGGTTTCTGAGCAAACCAACCAAGCCTTGTGCTGAGCAAAGCAAATCCCACACGGGTTTCACGTTACTCTTACCATCTCGTGAGCCTTCCTCTGCTCCTGGTTGAAGGGGTGGAGGACTTGCAGCCCACATATCTCACACACGTCCCCATGGATGTAGAGGCAGCGCTCTCCGAAGTGGCAGGCGCCCGCTGCAGCGTAGGGACACAACTGCTCTGCATCAGCACAGGAGCCTCCAGCCACCGGGTCCTCCAGCCCACTGCAAATAGCTTCCAGGTAGGAATGGGGCTTCACTTCTGGATTATCATTTTGGTCACTGCAGCACACCACATTGCCCGTGCCACTGGGATTGTGCTTCTCTTCAGTCAAGCCACACAGATCTTAGGGAAGAGAAATGTAGCATGAGCCATACGAGACACTCCACAGGAGGCTCCATGTACTTCCTTTCCAATGATAACCTTTCTTTTTAAGAAACAAGCCCTTTTCTTCTTAATGAAATGTTATCTCTGAGCCCCTCTGACTCACAAACCACAGGAATTTTCACAAACTACCTCCTGAAAAGGTCGATTTCAAGATCCCGTCAGTGAGAAGAGGCAGGAGCAGCGTGCAGGTGGGGGGGGCTCCCTGCCCTGCCCATCACGCACGATGGACGTCTCTGTGCTTGTGTTCCTGAGGGCTGGCACAACCCTCCCCACAGAGCACAAGCCGGGCACCCTGCCCTGCTTCTGACCATTTCAAACACCCTCACATTGAGAATAAAACGTGTTTTGTAGAGAACAAAACCCCAGCCTGGTTTGGGTTGGAGGGGCCTTAAAGCTCATCCAGTCCCAGCCCCCTGCCATGGGCAGGGACACCTTCCACTAGAGCAGG